GTACACCTCAGCTGAACAGTGTCACAGTGTCATGAAACATGCACCTTCTCAAATGTCTTTGCTTTATCGTTGAGAGATCCTAGAATGCTCTGCTGGATAAGATAATGAGTTCATTTTTGGACCGACTGTGCAATCATCTGGCTCCTAAGCACTAATTGTTTGGTTAATGTTTTTTTGGGGCTTTTTTTGTCTGCTTCAGGAATTCTGATATCACACTCTTGTGATCACCGCTAAAGCTGAACCGTGGGTTACTAGCTACATTTTTTCCTAACATCAATCCATCCATTATCTGTACACTGCTTGATCCTCTGTAGGGTCGGTGGGGAGTAGGCTGGAGCCTACCCCAGCTGACTAAGGGCGAAGGCAGAGTACACCCTGGACAGCTCGCCAGTCTATTGCAGGGCAACACAGAAGCAGACTTTCTTCTATCAGGAATTAATAAAATATCAGCAACAGTCTCAGCTGTTGGTTTAATTCCCAAGTGATATGTGATTAGGAACTACTACTACCATAATAAATATAATACTGGATCAATACACAGTGCAGCTATAAAAAGGTAACTGGAATTAGGAAAAATAATGTTGGAATTCCTTTTTGAAAAGGTAAATAACGCTGCAAGCTTCACATCAGTTCATGAGTATAATTTCCTCCAAGGTGAAAGCTGAGGCATAGGTATGTGATCAGTGTCAATTGTCTGTCTGTTTGTCAAAATGTTTATGCAGAAGCTACCAAGCTGAATTTCGTGTAACATAGTGGAGAGGTAGAGCATGGGCACACGAAGACCCATTAAATTTTGGTGCTAATCTCAACCACCTTTGTTAAAACTGCAAGATAGGGCGTTAGTTTGATAGAGGATGTGTTCTCTGAGTACCCTACTGCTTGAACATGTTTCCATACAGCACAAAGGTGTTTTGAATGACATTGCAGGAGAGCATTCTTTAAGAAGAACAGATCTTCAAGATTATTTTATTTTTCATTAGTGTGTTGACCCTTGGTCTTGCAGCTCTCTGCTGTTTCGCCTCTCTCAATTCCCTGGTCAGAAGAAGACAGATTTTTTTCTGGGAAACTGCTGAAGCATTTCCTCTCTTGCTGTGCTTTTGATTGGAGGAAATGAGACAGCAGAAAGGGAGATGACAAAAGCTGTTGAGGAGTTTTTCATACACCCCCCATATCTTCTCCTCAGGTTCACTCAAGTTCACACACCTTGTGACAGAAAGAAATAATAGGGAGACTGCTTCTGTTGTGGTGGAGAACTTTGATTACTTGTTGACTTAACTTGTTTAGTCTGTTTCAGTCACAATGAAGGCTGTTAGACCTTCAGATGACACAATCTGCCCGGGTGCTTACAGGTTGACACAGCAGATATTTTATTTTACAATGTAATGGGCAGCTAAGCAAAGTGGGGTTTTGTTTGCCTTGTGTGGAATTATTTTAATTCAAGTTTCAGCTTTTGTGAATTAGTTGTGTCTGCAACAGTGAGTCATTGTGACAATGTAGCCTACACTCCTTATGGTGGTCACATTTCTGCATTCACCATGGTTAAAGGCGTCACATTCATGTTGGCAAACTATGACAGTGCAACAGAGCCTTGGATTCATTTAAATCCATTCTTTGCAGAGGCATACTATTCATGCTGTATTTAACTATACTTGACCAATTATTTGCAGTTTATTCAAGATTTAATTGTCTCCACTGGGTTACATTTAGCTGATGAGTTTCTGGTAAGACATCATACTGATAAAGGGATTGATTGTAGTGCTTTTCCTTGTGTCTTTATCCAGCCTGAAGAAGGGACAGGACATATTAATTACGAAGTAAAAAATAAATGGTGACATATCTGCAGAATCAGTGCTGCTCTTCCTTATTATGTTAATATACCACATCAAATACGTGAAATTAAAGGGCTGTTTGATGTTCAGCTCAACTGAAGCAACAGTGATTTATGTGATATTTTTGACTGAAGATGCAAGTGGCTGTAACACTGGCATAAATGGAAGCTCTTCTAGATAAACAAGTTGCAACATAAACCACATGCTGCTGTAACAACATGGAGGCATTTCTTTGGATACAGGTTTACACGTTAGAATTTGTCAACAAAGTGACAGCTTTCCATTGCTGAAAGGGTTTTGTTTTTTTTGTTTTTTTTACTTTGCCGTGATGAAGACACTAAACTCTGCTGTGTCAGCTGCACAATTGTTTTGCTGTCATACAGGCTTGGTTGGCGTGCCCAGACACATATCCATATTTGTCTTTGTTTCGCTGTAGGAGCGAGTTGATCATTCTCAATCACTAATAAAGTCGAAATCTGCTAATATTATGTAATATAAAAGGTTTAATGCAACTGAAATGCCATTTGGCATTTGTGTGTTTTTTGTGCAAGACAGAATTTAAATTTAAATTTAATTTCATGTCCATTGCCTCCCCGAACTCCTCCCACACCCGCGTTTTAGCTTCCACGACTGCAGCTCTTTTGGCCAGTCAGTACCTGCCTGCTACTTCAGGAGACCCCCGAGCCAGCCAGGCCCGGAACATCTCCTTCTTCAGCCTGACAGCTTCCCTCACCGCTGGTGTCCACCAGCGGGTTTTGGGTTGCTGCCGCGACAGGCACCAGTGACCTTCTGGCCACTTCTGCAATGGAGGCTTTGAACATGGTCCACTCTGACTCCATGTCCCCAACCTCCCCCAGGATGCAGGAGAAACTCTTCCGTAGGTGGGAATTGAAAACCCCACGGACAGGGGCCTCCTCCAGGCGTTCCCAGTTCACCCTCACTCCATGTTTGGGTTTACCGGATCTGTCCGGCAGGCTTCCCTGCCATCGGATCCAGCTCACCACCAGGTGGTGATCAGTTGACAGCTCTGCTCCTCTCTTCACCCGAGTGTCCAAAACATACGACTGCAGATCTGATGATATGACTACGAAGTCGATCATCAACCTTTGGCCTACCGTACTCTGGTACCAGGTACACTTATGAGCAACCTTATGTTTGAACATGGTGTTTGTTATGGTCAATCCGTTGCGAGCACAGAAGTCCAAAAACAAAACGCCACTCGGGTTCAGATCACACCCCCTCCAGGTTTCACCGTCATTGCCCACATGAGCATTGAAGTCCCCTAGGCGAACTATGGAAATCCCAGGCGGCACCCCTTCCAGGAAACCACCCAGTGACTCCAAGAAGGCCAAATACTCCGAAATGCCGTTTGGTGCATAAGCACAAACAACAGTCAGAGTTTTCCCCTCTGCAACACGCAGTCGCAGAGAGGCGACCCTCTTGCTCTCCGGTGAGAACTCCAACATGGCGGCACTCAGCCGGGGGCCTGTGAGTATTCCCACACCCGCCCGGCGCCTCTCACCATGGGCAACTCCAGAAAAGGAGAGAGTCCAACCCCTCTCCAGGAGTTGAGTTACGGAGCCCTTGCTGTGCATGGAGGTGAGCCCGACTATATCTAGCCGGTAACGTTCCACCTCCCGCATCAGCTCAGGCTCCTTCCCCACCAGTAAGGTGACGTTCCACGTCCCAAGAGTTAGTCTACGCCACCAGGGGGCAGTACACCAGGACGCCCGCTCCTGCCAACCACCCAGTGGGCAAAGCACCCGACCCCGATCCTCTGCCCTGAGGGTGGTGGGCCCTCGGGGCAGTGGCTTCGTGTTACTTTTTGGGCTGTGCCCGACCGAGCCCCACAGGGCCTCAAGGCTCGGCCACCAGGCGCTCCCCAGCGAGCTCCGCCCCCCCAGGCCTGACTCCAGGAGGGTGCCCCAGTCTCCCTTTTCCGGGTGAGGTGGCGGCTGTCCTTCTACTGCTTTTCATCTGGGTCTTCTGAATCGCTCTTTGTCTGGTCCGTCCCTCAGAACTAATTTGCCTTGGGAGACCCTACCAGGGGCTAGTGCCCCGGACAACATCGCTCCCAGGATCACAGGGACACTCAAACCCCTCCACTGCGATAAGGTGGCGATTCATCGAGGGGCTGCTATATGTGGTGCTGTAAAATCTGTGATAACTAGTTAAAAATTTGTTCTCAGCTTGTCACATCACAGAAAACGAAGAGGACCTTCCAATCAAATTTGAATGACTGAAAAAAATATCAGTGCATAAGATATCATATATTAGTATAGGATCGGATAAGCATTATTCTCTGCTCTGAAATGCTGCAGGGATTTAGAGAAGGTTCTGATTGACAGTATTTACACCAACTCAGTCTGTACTAACTGTGAAAAACAGACCTGAGTTCATTTTAACTGAATCAAACAAGTTAGATGTAAAATCACAAATGTGCACTGTAGATACGGAACATCTCTATCACTTTCTGACTGTGGCCTAAGTTACCAACCTATCATAATATAATACCTACTGTAAAAAGCTAAATTGTGACTCACTATAATAACCACACAAGCCAATTTGTACTTATTGTCGGCCATGCACTGCCGATGAAGGAACAAGATATCTGCACTACAGGAAAATTAAGGCCTGGAACACAGTTTAGCCGTATTCACCAGTAGCAAGTTAATCATGAATCCCAGTTTTCTCCAATGAAAGTTTATAAAACTGTCTTGTATAATATGGTCACTGCAAATGTGGTTGTTGGTAGTAATACTCAGCTCTCTATCAATGCAAAAATCAATCCACCTCATCATTTTTAGAAAATTTAAGTTAGGATACCAGGCTGTGTGTCACAACGGGTCAAGGACGTGAACCCAAATGCAAGACTCAAAACTTCGGCTCAAAGTTCTCTTAACAGATTTATTTAAAGACAAAGTATCAACTTAAAATCTCTGCAAAAACGATAAATACAAAATGTCACTCAAGTGAGGAAAATATCAAAACCGAAAATCACTCTTACGAGGAAACAAGTTACTTGGAGAATCAAAAGCAAAACCTTAACTTGGCAGAATCGTAACATTACAAAGTAGCAACAAAACATTAACAGAATCGAGGCAATACAAAGTAGCAAATAGAACGTTAACAAGACTGTGGAAATACAAGGAAGAAAACAAAACCTGAACTTGGCAAGATCGTGGTGTGGAAGGCTAGGATGAATGATCTGGTACGTAGAACAAGGCGAACTGGCACAGGACAAAGGGAGACGCAGACTATATATACACACACAAGGGGCAACGAGGAACAGGTGGAGAACATTAGGGTGAGGTAGACAATCAGACACAGGGAACACAGGAGGAAGGGCAAGTCACCTGACACAGACGGGGAAAAGATTTTCAAAATAAAACTCACAAGACATAATACAAGACAAAAACCTAACAACGGGTTCGAGACATGACACTGTGCTGCAAATTCTAGTTAATAGAATTGTTTTTAGCTTATTCTAACAAGCTAGAAAACTGTAGACTGTAGTAGGTGTAGTGAGCAAGTATGAGAACCACTGATCCTAAAGCATTCTAGTTTTTATAACATTACAGTGTTAGGGTGAAGGGCAGCCAAAAAGTCCTGAATACAAAAATTATGAAAAACATGTTAATGGTCTACTCTACTCTATCTCACTACTACATAGTTCACAAATGTTTTTATAACAATTTTCTGACATGTGCAAAGTGCTTTGAAACAAATCTCATAATTTCCTTACACACACACTCTAAAGACCTTTGTGGTCCTGTTATAGTGAGGCAGATTCATTACACCCACGAGTGAGGCCCACCCTCTCCAGAACAGTTTTGCTAATAACAGGAAACATAGCCATTGCTGCAGATGCTAATAAGCAGCTGCTCAGAGCCTGAGACAGCCTGATTACAGCAGGAAGAGTGCAGTTAACATTCAAAATTGCTCTGAAACATCAGATGCAACTAATCTACTTGCTAGCTATTTTTGCAAGGCTGCAAAGAAAATGGAGCATAAGCAGTTAAAATGCTCCTGGGAAAGGTGTTTGTGTCTGTTTAATCTTTTAATCATGCTTGTTTGATACGCATCAGCAGAGATTGTTCACCCTGCCATTGATTATGTATCATTTATGCTTTGATAACACCAAGGTGCACTTTCAACCTCAGATTCAACTGATGTGTGTGTTTTGCAGCTGCAGCACAACAGGCTCCATCATGTCCCTGAAGAGTGAGGTAAACTTGTGACAACAGTCAGCACTGCTGTAATGTTAATATTGTTATTCTAGCTGATTACAGAGTCTCAGTGCTGAATCAGCAACAGCTTAGTTAGAAAACTGAGTTGTAACTGTTATTATTCACGCACATCGCCGCCAGGTACCAGGTTCATTAACATAGCTCTAAACATATGTGACAGGGATGCTGAGTTTTGTTCTCAAGTATAATGGTGCTCTACTGCTCTTACTCGGGATCTCATAATACCAAAAACTTGGGAGTTGGTACCAATACCATAGAATTTCCAAGATTCTTGATCCAAATTTCAATAACAAAATAATAAATCACCAAATGATCAATTTTGATCATTAAAGTTGTACATGTGTGCTTTCATAGACTTTATACTTTAAGTTAAAAGGTTTTGCTAAAATGTCACTGTTACATTGTCTTTGTATGGCCTTTTCTTTGCCTGACATAAGGGGATGAAGTGTGGCCTGCATGCTACCCTTTGACCCAGGCATGCAGTGGTTGGGTAATATACTCATGGTCACGATGTGATGTTCAATAGATGATCACTTCACTGAACTCTTCAATTTCATTTTCCTTTTTTACCCCCTTGGTCATATTGATGAAAGCTCCTAGCCATCTCAGTTGTCATTGGAAATGGGTTAGAAACAAGTTCTTAATTTGAGGCCAGGCTATATACCAGAAACATGGTGCTTTTCAAGCCAGCATGTGTTTTCTACTAAAGTGCCAGATATGTTACCTCAGTGGCTATTTGTTCCATGGGTTTTTCAATGCACTACTGTGGTCTTGACAATCTCGACAATCTGTAGCTGAGTTATTAATGTTCTTTATAATTCCTTACAGGACAATTTGTAGCCAGTGGGATGTTAGAGCTTTGGAAGCAGCACTGACTGAAGGAGCATGGTGAAACATCAACCCCTCCAGGTCTATGAGCGGCAGCTCTGTTTGTCATGTATCACTGGGATCTACGGTTGCCGATGGAAACGCTATCAACGTTCCCATGATGACACCACCAAGGTGAGAGGGGGATTGAAGCCCTTTCACAAGTTTGCATTACCTTTTCAAATAACTGTAGATCTTGCTGTCAGTGAGCAACACCCTTTGCTGTTTTACTGAGCACGAATATCTGACAGGGTGTGGCATATTATAAACAGTACAAGGCACAGTACATGTTCTATACTGTGTAAGGGGTTTAGGCACTTAAGATGTTTAGGTTCCTATCCATTACACAATGCCGTCAGGGCAGCATCTGAACAGTCATCTCCAGCATGACAACATGCCCAACATATTGCCACTAAAGAACAATTTTCAGTCATCATCACTGAGTCAGTCTTGGAATACATGAAGAGACAGAAACAACTAAGGCAGCCTAGATCCACAGAAGAACTGTGGCAAGTTCTCCAAGGGTGCTTCAGAGAATTTGAGGTGTTCTGAAGGCAAAGTGTAGTCACAAAAAATATTAACTTGATTTAGTTTTTGGGGGTTTTTTTGTCTTTACTGCACTTTGTATGAGATTTAATGCATACATGAAGGACTGCTCATCTCATGGTAACCTTGCTTATTAGCTTTTGCACCATACTGTACAAGCCTCGTGACTGCGACTGAAATGGTCGCATATGTGCCCGGAATTTCTAGGGTGCGACTATATTTGAAATTACGGTCGCACAGTGCGCCAATAGAAAAATGAGCAAAAATTAAGGGCTGCGCCTAAATAATGACTGCAGGAAAAAAATAAACAAGCTCTACATCCGCTGGCTGACTGAAGCATGCGAACCTTCGGGCCGTAATACAGCCTGCGAGTCAACTGATCACGATTCGCAAGCCAACTTGCTAAACGATCAGCTGACCGTAATCAGCGAATCAAGGAGCAAATTGATAAAGACAAACAACAAGCACGGTTAGTAAGCATGTGTATGATTGGCTAGAAGTTTCTGCGACCCTGTGGTCTTTCTCTGACAAAGTGAAGCACTCTATTGCTCAGTATTTTTCGAAGGCTTCTCAGCCTTCTGTTTCAAGAGAGCGAGAGCGCCCTGAGCCACCGAACAGCCAAGAAACCCCTGATTAACCGAAGCCCACGCCTGATACGGATGTGAAGCACAAGAGCGATGTGGAACCCGATAACAATGTTGAAAGCTCGGACACGGATGATGAGCCCCCAGCCCAACCTTTTCTTTTAAAGTTCAGATAAGTTTCGTAACCAATTCCTATCTGCAAGTGTCCTCCAGAGGAGGACCATCTGCAGAGATGTGGATGTGTCATGTGTCATGATGACTGTCAAGAAGTCTGTCGTTGCAACCAGTGACGTGCGGTCAGGGGAGGCAGGTGAGGCAGAGCCTCACCTGACATCATGGAAAGAAAAAGAATATATAATGACAAAATAATTTAACTGGTTATAGTTATTCAGTGATTTGTACTATAAAGGAGTTATTTTTTTCACATAGCCTCATCAGTTTGGATGATTTTTATATTCAAAATCGCTGAATTTTCGCAATTTCCCATTCAATGTTTGGAAGAGAAGCCAGTGAGGCAGCACCGGTAGGCAGTGACAGCCTACGCATAGCAGTATGCTAGCAGGCAGCAGCGAGCTCAGCCTCACTTGGATTGCGCAATCCCTCGCTACATTGCTGGCTGTCTGCAGTGACTGCGTGCTGTTGTCTGAATGTCGCCAATAGCATGGTTCAAACACATTTACTATATGAACTGCTTTTCCATAGTTTAGCTGATGTATATAATAATGTACAGTGTTTTTTTGTCACCAACTGTAGGTGTGTAACGTGTTTCGTGTGCTGAGCGATCATAAACAGCTGAGAAGAAACATAACCCATAAACTGCTGCCAATCAAATGGCAAATATGCTACTGTGTAGAGTGCATATATTTGTAAATCGGAATCTGATGAAGGCAGTGCCTCACCAGCCATGAACCTCACCGCACGTCACTGGTTGTAACAAATGGTGTGATTCGTCTTTCTTCTCGAAGAACCAACTAAAATTATATACCACACATTGCCAATTGTTTTGCACTGATCAATGTAGGCTTTTTCTTTCAAAATCTATTTAAATACTTCATTCCAGGTTGTTAACATTGATTAATAGGAGTATTACTTGGTATGGCAAGAGTTTTGCTTGTGCTCCCAACTTTTTATAGTGGTGCGCCTAGATTTTTGCTGGTGCTCCTAACTTTTTTGGGTCAGGAGCACAGTGCTCCGAGGTCATAAAGTTAGTCTGGAGGCCTGCTGTAGATAATGATCATTAGACAATACGAAGCTTTCATATGTGTCTCCAGTAGTGAATCTGTTGTTGCACAAAGAATTGCATTTGACTGACCATACAGCTGGTCAGATTCTTCCACGCCTTGCAGATTTGCTCTGGCTTTACATTGGAGCTATCCTTTCCCCTGTGAAGAAAACCCTATAAATGTTTAGATGCTCGGCTACATAGAACAGTGTAGACAGCAATGATTAGAAAAGCAGTAGGAAATGGAGTCAAAATACTCCCTGCTGTTACCGATTATCACAAGATGTTACAAGCGCTGCACATATGTGCACATGTGCTTACAGCGGGTTGGGAGTGAATGAGGCCTGATCATCTCATTCTGAGAAGTGTCTGTAGAAAAAAATATGGCATTTCTCCTCTTGAAATTTGGTTCATAAGCAATTGTAACTGCTACATGAATAGAAGTCTTTTCACAGTTCAGAATAACAAGATGGCTGGGTAGGAAGTGTGATTGTTTTTCAAAGTACTCTGTTACTAAATGCACTACAGAGCAAAAAGCTATTAATCCCTTTTAAAGTAGAACTGTTAGTTTGAAGCACCTGTAGCAGTGTGATTTTACACCTACACCACAGCCTCTGGATGACCTGGTCTAATTGTCTCTCAACATTCATTTACAAAGAACAATTATCTCTCACCAAATATGTCGTTGCTGGCTTATCTCCTGTTCAATAACCTTGAGCTTTCCACAGAGAGGCTCATTTCACATTACAATACCCCTTTGTTTTCCGCTTGCCTACATTCTGCACATTTTTAGTTAATTTCATCAGATCTTACAAGAAATATTTCCTATCAGATTGTTTGTCAAGTCAAAGCTGGCAGTGTAGGGTAGAAAAAATTTGCTTGTTTAAAAAACAAAACAAAACAAAAAAAACAGTATAAGCCTTGGCTCCTGAAAACTACATTGCAGTGCTTTTCCCCCCCAGTATTAGTTGCATGCAAGGATAAGTATTACAGCCTACACAAGATGATCCATTTGTCCTGACCCTTTCTCTCTGCTATTTTGGAAGGACACACTGGCTATGTTGCTGCAACAAACACAAACACACAGCTCAAACTGGTGTGTGCACTCACATGCACTCAGTCACTAGATTGGATTATTTATTTATGCCCACATACCAGCAGAAACCCAGGACACAGACAGTAGTTGTGTCAGTACACACACACACACACACACACACACACAGATCCCTTGAGGAAAGCATATGGCCTATATTAAACCTACACTGGGTGTGTAGACAGACAGACAAATATCACAGGTAGATAGGAATAATTATCTTTACACACGCTTCATATAAAACACATAGCTCAACTAAATACAGATATATTGATTTTTTTCCCTCCTGTTTGCATGACACTGAACACTGCATAACTCTGTTTCCTCTGGTAAGTGTTTTTTTGGCTAACTGATAGAATGGTGCAGATTCAGCATTCTTTGATCATGGTGCTCATGCTTTGTTTGACCACCTGATGCTGGACAACACTTGTCTTGATTCCAGAGCAAGAAGCACACAGTCGGGCACATACAGGCTGCCATCGATTTCCAATCAGTTAATTCAATAAGAGTTTTTCCCCATGAACATTCTTAGTTTTTTTTTTTTTATATCATAAGTAGAAAGAAATTAAAACAGATTCGGCCAAGGCGATTTGTTGTACAATAATTCTAAAAACTACTAAGAGTGCAGCTTTGTCTTACTGCTGTCAGTCATTATGAAGCACGGAGGAGTGGAGCTATGCAATTTGCTGTTTATGTGACTGTGCCAGAAGCAGAGAGCTGTCATTTCCATTGAGGATGCTTCTTAGCTTTGGCTGAGATGATGTCATATAAGACTGCATCTGTAACAATCCCAGTAAACAAAGTGTGACCAATCAGGGACAGGTATCAGGTACATGTAACTGGACCTGAGCGAATCACAGAAGCGTGAGAACTGGGAATCTCATGTTAAAACAGCTGTTGGCTCATTCATAATCCACAAGTGAATCATGCGATTTCTCTCCTTCATCTTCACTGTAATGAGTCGTTCAGGTTGACTGACTCCCTTAGTAAAGCTGCTTCTGTCTGTTCAAGGTTCTTTGTTGGAAGACAGCCCACGTCATTCAGTGCAAGCCGATCTGGCCTCTCAGTAATAATTGAAAGTATTTCCATTTAGCCAGTCTTCACCATTCAGTCACACAAAGGCTTCAAAAATAGAAGCAAAGTTGCTTGTTGTCTGGATTTTGTGTGGCTAATCACATACTTCTCTGTTCATTTACTTCTAGGTGTCAGACTGAAAGGTCAGGAACTTAAGTATATTAGCTATGAGGTGACTCATTGATGAGGCTGATGTGATTATGAGGGCCAATGGCTGGCGAGACGTTGTTGCGTCACTCGTGCTGAAGCGGCGAAGTTGTTCGCCGTGAAGAACTCCACAGTACTCTGATGTAAGAAGACGTGAAATGAAAATTTGTTTGGATTCCACAGGGCGATCTTTTACAGGAGTGATCCAAGTAAACAACAGCTAAGGTTGGCTGATACTGCCGAACATAACCTTACAGCTACAATTCAAAACTGTATCGCCTCCATCTCTGCCTTTTCCTTCTGGCGCACTCCAACGGAAAAACAAAAACAAAAAAACATACACTGACGTAAGCACGTAAAGAAATCTGTCAGTGTCTTAAAGAAACAGCAAAACCAAATAAGCAAACTACATCTGAGTAAACAAACATTTTCCTGACTCAATCTGTACAAACAATCTGAAATACTCTGG